TCATTCTTCACCCCAGTCCAAACACTGGAGACAAGAGCACCCATCTTTCTTTACCAAAGAAATCCCGTGGTGCAAATTTTAAAGGAATTATATTCCTCACTTCCTTTCATGATAGAAACTTATAGAACAGCACAGAAGAAAGAACATCTAAATCCATGTTCTTACTGTGCACAAAGTTTGTAATCAAATAGAATCACTATTGCCATTACACACACTCACACACACCCAAGTCCTCTCACCATCTTCCTGCTGTGGAGTTGTTGGTGCTATTTGGTTATCATCAGCTAGGTGCTGAGCTGGGGACTCCAAGGTCCACATGTAAGGCTATGAGGACTGGTGGTGAGAGGTGGGAAGCGAGGCTCTTTAGAGAACACCAGCTGGGGGCGGTCCTCAGCTTAATAGTCTCCCCTACCTTTTTTTTTTTTCTGGGTGTTTTGTTTTGTGTTGTTTCAAGCGTGTTCAGAAGTGCTTTTTTGAAACATTCCTATTATGTATGTTTTAATATTAGATAATTCCAACATTTGTATCCCCTACCTTTTTTATGGTAATCTTTAAAGACAGGGCTTCCCGGTTGTGAGATCAACACTTGACCCAACCCAACTTCACACATGCTGAGAGTACCAYGGCCAGAGCCTTCCATTCGGGGCCTACTTATGTCTGAAGTGGTGGCCACACGGAAGAGGCCATTTTCACAGCATTTTATCACTTACCACCTTCCTTAATTTCCCCACTTTCCATTCCCTTTTCTGTCATTTACTTTGCATAAGTCACCCCCAGTTATTTACATATTCGAACAGTGTTTTCATCTGCAGCAGGCTGAAGAATGACCCTGTGAATACCAGGTCCTGGTCCCTGAAACCCGGGGATCTTTGCAGATGTGGTTAAATTCAAAATCTGGAGCTGAGGAGAGTATCTGCATGGGCTCAGAATGCCTTCTCAGCTTTCCATGAGAGGCCGACAGAAGGAGGCAACAGTCCCCATGGACATGGGAACGCAGTGACACCACCACAGCCCAGGAATGCCAGCTGCTCCGAGAGCTGGAAGAGATGGCAATGGACTCTCCCCACCAGGTCCCCCGACACCTTGACCTCAGCCTGGTGATACGACTTCAACGCCCATCTCCAGAACCGTGGAAGAACAGACTTGTGTTGCTCTAAGTCACCACATTTGGGGTAATTTGTTGCAGCAGTCATAGGAAACTGATCCCTACCCTCTACTCCAGCCTAGATTTTTTAAGGGACAACTACCCAAACCACAGGTTGGGCAAATTTGGATCTCCATATTTGAAAGCTCTGCATTTGAAATGAAATGATAATCACAGCTGAGTAAAACTTCCCACTTCCAAATATGGAGAGGCTTGTTTTAAATCCCATGCAGACTTCCCTCCCACAACTTATGAAAGGCTGTGTTTGTTTGGCACAAGAAATGCAGACAAACTGAATTTTATAGTATTACTAACACCACAGTGTTGGACACCACTGTAAACCAGTTTCTAAGGAAAAACACCAACCAGCCAGATCAGCTGGCTCGAAAGCAACAGCCCTAGCAACGGCCCAAAGCTCTGGGACACCACACCACAGGAGCACACAGACCTTTGAGCTGCCAAGAAGAGATGGGTAAATGCTGTGGTGATGTCAAGCCCGACAGGAGATGGCTTTGGTCTAACGCTTATAAGAGAAATCAGATGTCTCATTCACATTGAATCCAGGGAGCTCGGAGAGGAGGAGGGAGTGAAGTGGCCTGGGTCAGGCAGAGAGAAAGCCACCTGGYAGCACTGGACAGGCCGTGGCCAGTGCTGAAGCTTCAGATCACTGAAAGCCATGGAAGGGTGGTAGCAACTAGAAAGCAGGTTGATCATCTTGGTGCTTAGGAAGAGGAATCTAACTGAAAATGGGTTAAGTGAGTGGGAAGAGAAGGAAGCAAAATCGAAGCTGGAACTGGGTGGAGCAGCTAGATTGGCCAGAGGGGCTGGGAGCCTGGAACAGCCTAAGCAGCACTGTTGAAGATGGATCCAAGGGACGTTTAAGAGGTAGACTGTTAAGACTAGTGCCAGTCAAATKCAGAAATTGAGAGAAATAACTATGTTTCTAGATTGGTTAACAGGGCTGACAGTCCCTTTAAGTAAGGTAGAGAAGGAAAGAATAAGCAGATTATCAAGTGCGGCTCTGAGCCTGCCGGTACATGGCTATGGGCCATCCAGATGGCAATGTCTACCAAGATGGCTAAATGATGTGTGTTCTTTATAACTGAATATGCGTATGGGGCTAGAGATTCTGCTCGGGGTGCTTCAGGGCATGGCTGTCACTCCATATAAATACAAAAACTTCTACCACAAGCTAAGCCCATGCTGGCCATGCAGCAGACAGAGGAGGACACACAGTCCAGGGGAATGAGAGGTCCTGGCAGGCAGATCCAACAGCAGCTGCACAAGTGGCACTAGCGAAACCTATACAAGGTGCTTTCACAAGTGTTAAAAGGAGGCTAAAAAGGAACTGCAGGGGTGGGGTAAAGAGGTGACAGAATCCTGGAGCAAAATGAAACTGTCCTGGATGGTGAGAGGGGAGAGATTACTCAGGTGGAGGGCATCACACTTGAGCCAGAAGCAGGAGGCACAGCAAGATGGGTTGGGGGTGGGAGCAAGCTGTGAGGCTGGTGTAGGTTGGAGTCTGAACTTTATGCCAAGAACAATGCAGAACCCTGAACACTTGAGTGAGGAGTGCCACCATGCCTCTCGCTTCTTAAAAAGACACTTTGGCTATAAAGTGAGTGAAGAAAAGGGAAAACTGGAGGCTCGGAGAGCAATTAGGACACCAGGTAAGCTGGAATGAATGGCTGCATTGCTAGAGAAACATTTAGGAGGCAGGATGGACAGGACTCAGTGACAGGCCCAATCCGGAGGTGAAGGGTGAGCCCAAGGGTGGTGTCCAAGTTCCAGCTCAGGTAACCAGTGATTGTCCTGGGATGGATGAGACCCCCCAAGAGCAAGCATAAAAGAAGAACCAAGGTCATAGTCCTTAGGAAACTGGAGGCGAGCATGGGAAAGGGCCGAAGAGCCAACACAGGAGGGTGAGGAGCAGAAGAGAGGCAGGAAATACAGGACACTGAGATGTTAACTGCAGCCATGGAGTTTGAGGAAGGAATTGGTAAAATATCACAAGTCAGAGGTCAACTGGAAGGTCAAAGGTTCAGCCAACTGGTGATCTGTGGCTTCAAGCAGATACACCAGTGTGCATCATGTTGAGGTCGCTTAGAAACCAGCAGGCGAACAGGTAGCCAGCTAGGGAAACACCATGGGGCAGCCACTTTTGGCACCAGGTATAACAGAAAACCTGGTTTCCAGCTCAGGCTCAGGTCCTGCAGCTCCATATTGGTTTTCCTGCCTATAAAACAGGGATAACATAAGGCTCACTCAGCCTTGTTACAGGGGACCCTTAACCTCAAGGCCCTTCGTAGCACATAATCACTGCTGCCTTCTAAATACAAGGCCACAGTTTGCTTTACCACCCCACAGTTCAATATAGAAAAACATTCTTTAAAGTTCTTAAGTAGGTGTAGGAGAAAACTTAGGCTGCCAGATTCTTAATACTAACAGTCGTCTCAACATTAGTGAAACTAAACAAACAAAAGATCTATTAATTTGGAGATAAGGTTCACCTGTACAAACCCAATGCAAAATTATTTCTCCCATATACTCCTCACTTAATACATTATTTTAATCTAGGATCATGTGCACAAACTCAAACTTCAAAAATTAGTTAAGGGGGCTGAGATTGTAGCTCAGTTGTATAACACTTGCCTCACATGTGTGAGGCACTGGGTTCAATTCCCAGCACCACATAAAAATAAATGAATAAAATAAAGGTCCATCAACAATTTTAAAAATATTTAAAATAAATATTTTAAAAAGTTAATTTTGAAAATTAACATATACCGGAAAAGTATTAATTAAAGCTGACTTAAAATCCAGAAAATTGAAGGGTTCTAGAATCTCCTCTTCATAACAAGGACTCCTGGTCGGTTCTAAGCTTTGGAGAAAATGTCAAGCTGTTCTATGTAGCTTGTCTAAACTAAAGAAGCTTTCTTTAAAGCTGGCATTTACAGTCTGGCATTGCTATCTAGTTTGGTTGCAATTGAAAGTGAAGTGAGTCTTCTAACAAATGGAGCTGTGATGTTCACCAGAAAACCCATGCTACATGAGAACTGGGGTTGCAGAGAGTAAGCTGTTTCCTCCTGATCACTTAATTCAATACTTGCTTTTAAAAAAGAGGCTCCTGTCTGTAAAAGCGTGTTGGACACGCCTGACATGCGGGAGCGGACACTGCTGCGGGGTCAATCTGAAGCCCTAACTAGTTTCCTCCAGTTCTCTCCCCAGCCGTCCTCTGGCATCTGGTCATTTCAGGAGGAGAAAATGGATGGAAACAGGGAGTGCAGTTCTCCACCAGCTCCGCGTCCTGGGGCTTCCCACGCAGGCCTCGAGGCGTCCGCTACAGCCAGAGGGCCACCTGGGCACGGCCTCCGCCGGCGCGTCGCAACCGCCCGCAAGCTGAGCGACACTCGCGGCGCCCGACGTCAAGGTCCCCGTGCTCGGAGGGCTGCTGGACSCCGACAGGCTCAGCGCTGCAGGTCCGAGGGCTGCCCGGACTCCTAGGGGTCCCGCGGGTGCGCCGCTCCCGGAAGCCAAGACTCCGAGGCGGCCCCGCCGGCACAAGTGCGGCAAAATGTCCGCAGCGACCACGCCGGCAGCCTCCGTCCCCCACCGGGGACCCGTGCGCCTCCTCGCCGCGGCCCCTCACCCCTGCCCAGCCGCCTGCCCTCGGGGACCGAGRAAGTAGGGTCCGGGCCGCGGCGGCAGGCGCTGGCCCACGCGGGGAGCAGGGTCGCCACAGCTCAGGGCGCGGGGCACCCGCACGGCTCCCCAGCCCCGCCCTCCGGCCCCGCGCCGCGCACCTCCCTCGCCCCGCCCCCCGGCGCCCGGTGGCCAATCCCAGCGCCGCGCACGTGACGAGCGCTGCCTGCGATGACCTCATCCCTGGTGTGGGATGACGTCAAATTCAAGATGGATGGAATCACAGCGGCAGCGGCGGCTGCGGCGCGCGCGAGCCGAGTGTGAGCGGAAGGGGGCCTGGCGTCTGCCTCGGGGTTGAAGAGCGGTGAGTAACGGTCACGCCCCTCGCCCCGGAGAATCGCGGGGCCCCGTGGGGGGCTACTGCCTCCCCGCAAAGCGCGGCCTTTCCTGACGTAACTCTGAGGTGATTTCTCTCCCCTTTTTCCTCCGCCAGCGGGTTGCGGGCTTCGGGCGCTTCTGCGCGTGCGCTGGGCCGCGGCGCTCACTGAGCATGCCCGGGCTCCCACGTAGCCGATTGTGTCTTCACACCGCGCATGCTCCATGCCCGCACCTGGCCTCGCCCTCGCCACCGCGCATGCGCGGCCCCTCGCCGGCCGCCCCCTTGGTCCCGGCTGGGCTGTCTGTGGCCGCGGGGCCGCGGTGGCGGAGCGCGCGCCCCTTACGCGGAGCCGTTGGGACACCCTAGGGGCTGGGCGTGCGCCCCGGTTCTGAGCAGCTCAGGCTTGGCGGGGAGGTGGGAGTGGGGGCAGTGGTGGGACCCGGCACCTGCCACGCCGGGAGCGTGACAGCCCCGGGGCCAGGTCGACCCTTTAGCCCTGCGCCCCCAGCGGACCCCGGCGCCTCGCGACGCCGTCCTGCTGGTCCAGAGACCCCAGGACCTGGTCCGGGGCTTTCCGCGGCTCCCGGGACCCCCGCCTGGCCTTGCTCGGCACCCAGGCAGCGTCCTCCGGAGACGTTCCGTGCCGGTCTCAGGGTCCGCCCTGGGGCCGCGCACTGCCAGTCCCCAGGTCCCTGGCTGCCGAGCGGCGCTGGAGCKGGCAGACTGGTTGGCGGCTGGCTTGCCGCTGGCAGAGACCTCGTGCTCGAGCTCCCCAGCTCTGCACCTCTGCATCCGAGGGCATCTGTTACAGCATAGTCCAGTGATTGTTCACCAGCATGACCCTGAGTCACGAGTTACCGAGTTTGTGTCATGTTCCTGGCACCTTGAGGGTTAATCCATTTTAGGAAGATTTATCATTGAAAATTATTTTTAAAAAACGATTCCCCCGGAAGGAGTAAATCCCACCTCCACCTTTGATGACTAGTAGTCATTAAGTTTGACTTTGCCCCTAAATATTGCTGTTAAAGAGAAAGTTGAAATTTGAGGCATTGGTTTACTTAAAAGTAAGTTTGTGTTTAATTAATTATTCCTTTTGACACCATTTATTGAAAGTATAGAGTACTTTATTCTGTGGAAATAAAAGCTGAAGAAAGTATAAGCCTTCCCCTGAGAAATTTACAGGATTAGATAGCAGGGACTATTACACAGATACACTGCTAAGGGAAAACTAAAAATAAGGAATGAGGGACTAAGTTGTTACAGAAGCCCCTGGACTAGAAGGAAGTAACTGAGGGGTTGAAGGGCTAGGTTCACAGGTGTCAAGTGATTGGCCAAAGGGTAAAGGAAGGACAAGAGGACCCTGGCAGAGGACAGCTCCTGGCCAGCAACGACCAAGCTCAGCAGGGAATGTGTGGGGGACAAGCAGGTGTGAGGGTTACAGGTGCTGAGCTGGATCTGTTGGGTTGGTACCAACAGGCTGGAGTGCAAAAAGTCTGAGCAGACATAAAGATGTGGGAGTCACTGTCCACACGATCTCAGAGAAAGCACAGAAAATGTCTGGTACTGGGCTCTGTAACAAAGGTTGGAGAAGTAGAGGACAGCAAGTCTGGGTCTCGAGCCTTGAGTCCAGTGAGTTCTGTTTCTGTACAGTACACAGATGAAAACAAGAGCTCTTCCTTTCAGAAGTTTCCTGAGGAAATAGATACAAGCAGATCCTCTGAAATAGTTGGGAATTATTGCAGAGGGATCTAATATTGTGGTAGTTGAAATGACTGATCTGCTGGCTGGGGCAAATTGTGGAAGCTTTATAGAGATAGTAACATTTCAGCTGAATCTTTCTGTAGACAGTAGCCAGGTACAAGAGAGGCAGGAAAGCTCTTTTTAGGAGCCAGAAACTGGGTATGCAGGTTTGTAGGGTAGATGGTGTGGAGAGTCCAGTAAGGATGCAGATGTGAGTTGAGAGTGTGAAGAATTTGCATGCCAGTCTATAGTTTTGATTTTTCTGCAGAAAGTAACAGAAAATAATATTCCAAAGCAGCTTTACTTAAGAAAAATAAAAAGTATTATTACCTCTCCTGTATTTCATTGGAGTAGAGTTCACAAGAATCAATATATAGTTATTGCTGAGCAGGATAGCATGTCTGGCATTATCAGTTCTATGTTGGAAATTGGCAAGGCAAGTCCATGAGTAAGCACTACACAAATGATCTCCACCATGTAAATGATGAAGGCATTGAAAGGAGGAGTTTGCTTATTGTAAGCCAGAGTTGTCGATGAAAGTGTATTAGTTTGCTTGAGCTGCTGTAATAAAGACTGCAGACCATGCAGCTTAAACACAGTTAAAATTTTCTCAAAATTACAGAGGTTGGATGACTGAGATCAAGGTGTGTATAGGGCTGGTTTCTCTCTGGGCTTGCAGACAGCCTCTAATGCCTGAATCCTTACAGGTTCATTCCTCCATGTGTGTCTGTGTCCTGATCTCTTTAAAGGACACCAATTATAGTGGATTAGGGCATATTGTAACTTATTTACTTCTGTAAAGACCTCATCTTCAAATATGATTGCTTTCTGAGGTGCTAGGGGTTAGGATTTTAACGTGTGAGGGCCTGGCCACAATTCAGTTCTAACCGAAGGCTTCCTAGAGGACTTGGAACTTGACCTGAGTTGGGGAGGGGCTAAACACCACCTGGGAAGCTTCAGATTGGGTAAAAGAAGCAATACAATGTACAGGTTGTGTCTTGAGAGTATTGGAAACAGAAAGTTATGATGAAATAGCTAAGGGGAAGAATTTTAAAAATAGTTTGAAAGCAGATTTTTATAGTGCCTTGGGATCCATGTTTTATAAAATCTTCATTTTTTTTTTTTAAAGAGAGAGGTAGAGAGAGAATTTTTTTTTAATATTTATTATTTAGTTATTGGCGGGTACAACATCTTTGTTTGTATGTGGTGCTGAGGATCGAACCCGGGCCGCACGCTTGCCAGGTGATCGCGCTACYGCTTGAGCCACATCCCCAGCCCAAAATCTTCATTTTAATCTAATGAGGAAACATTGCTTTTATTATTTGTTTCTAACCAGGACAGAGGCTACCTGTGTTCACAGTGGTCCTAGGTCTCAACTAAATTGTTGTGTGGCACTTCCTAAGGGTCTGCTGAGCCCCTAGGCATTGCACTCATATCACACTGTGTTTTTTCATCAGGGCACTTAGCACATCAGAAGTTTGTCTTATTTGTTTGTTTCCTTATTTATCATCTAATTTACCTCCCTGGATCGAGGGGGCTCTTGTTTATTTTGAGAACCCCTGTATTTCAGATACATGCAACCATGCCTTGCACATAAAAGAAGTTTAGTAATAATCTCAGTTAATAATAGTGATACCTAGTGTATATGTTGTGTGACAGATCAATGCTTGTTTCAAGAAGCTCCGTCTAGCAGCAGCATTATAAAGCATGGGTTTGGAAGGCATGACAGGAAAAGTGAGTACCACGTGGAAATACATTAGTTAGGGTTCTTTAATAACCAGAACAGAAACTAACTGGCTGACTTGAATTGAAAAAGGAATTTATTGTAAAGATACAAAGTTGCTCTTGGGGTTGAAGGAAAAGCTAAAAAAAAAAAAAAAAAAAAAAAAAACCCAAAAAACAAAACAAAAAAAAAACCAAAACCTTGGGCCAGGAAGGTCAAAGCAAACTAATTCCAGGAATTCTGAATCAGGCACTAGTGGGTTGCATTTTCAGGCTCCTGCTGAGATAAATCAGCTTCATTCATCTGTAGGCTTGTCATTCTTCTCAGGACCCATGTTCTAGGGAGAAAGTTTCTAATTGGCCTTGGCTTTGGGGTGTGTGTCTGCAACCATCAGACTGTGCTCATGGGACAAGTGTTCTTCCAAAGCAGAAATTAAGGGACTGTTCACAGGAGGAGGAATGGCTGCTGGATGGTCAGAACAGACCAACTAACTGCCTGTGACCAGAGGCCACCCTGGTGTGGTGCAGTTAAGACCTGGGAAATCATTCTGCTGGTGGTGTATCTTGAATCAGATTCAAACCCGAGAGAAGAKACAGACATTCTGAAAATGTGATGGAGTGGAGTACAAGGTAGTAACCTGACCCTCTGGAAGGATCGGGTAAGCTAGTCTAGCATTGAAATCTGAGGAGCTTTAGGTGTTTTCTGGATGTCTGCATTGTCAACAAGTGAGTGATAATGAGAATGAACTTCAGTGCCAGCTTCCTGTTACCATAGAATAGTAAAATCAAATGAAGAGAGTTAGGCTAAATCCAGCAGTGAGGGTTTGCACGTGAACTGTGTGTTTTATTCCAAAGTCAGTAGGTGCACTGAGTGTTTGCCTGAGCTACATGCATTTCCTCTCTCTCTAGTATCATAATTAGGATTATTTAAGCAATCTCCAACATTCCAAAGGATCATGGTTCCCAGAATTCCATTTTAAGTCAATGTTTGTGGTGTTAAAAGACATTTTCCTTTAGAACCGTTAGTAAGAGTTCTGGGCCGCCAGGATAATTTATAATGCTCCTTAGCTGTGATACCAGCCTGAATTTTAGTCTCTGAAACTTGAAAAAAGGTGGGATTATTTTGATTCTTTTTGATYTCCCTCGCTCGCCCCTCACTTAACCTCCTAGTTTTGTACTTGGTGCCTGGCTGTGCTTCACTTTCTTCTGCTTTGTCCCCAGAATGCTCTGCCTACCTTACCTTTGTCCCCTCAAAACTCTTCATTCCTTGCAGTTGTTCTGACATTGGTATAAGGAAGAAAATGATTGCATTAAATTAATTTACTTTGGGGC